CCGATATCTTCGCCGGCTATATACTAATCCTCGGTCTACTCTCTACCCTCGGCCTAGGTAGTATTATCGTATTCTAGTTCTTAATAGTTAGTCTCCTACCCTAGGTCTACTAAATCGTAGAAGAACGTAGCTTTACTACAAGCCTAGGAATTTGCGGGAATGCCTTAGCCTCTTATATTTCCGAAATTCGTCTACTATCTCTAAGGATTCGGATACTACGGGAGACCGCGGACGTCTACTATTTTCTCGTTTGCGCTTGCGTTTACGCCCTATAGTCTCTAGCGGCTATAGACCTATAATCTAGGCTAACGGCGTTACTAGAATATATTAGGTTGCTACCGATTATAGGGATTATTATTTCTAAGAAAAGACGAGCGTCTAGTATTAAAACGAGACCTAGACGCGAAACTAGGGTCTACGAACCTACCCTATACCGAATCGCTACGTCGAAGGTTTAACTTACTATTATAGTAGCCGGTAGTAGTGCTACCTAGAGGATATAACTCTACCTATATCGTATAATAGGCTTGTATTATATCGATAAGCGTCTAATACGTCTATAATAGCGTAGGCGTATTAAGATTACTACGTAGCTCTAGTACGATCTTCCGGAAGGTATAGTTAATTTGCCCTATAAGTAACTCCGTACCGCTTTGCTATACTAAACACATAACGTTAATAACGAATTCGCTTACGCTCTTTCGGGCCGCGACTTCCTTAATACGATATTGTTCCGATTCTAATTCGCGCGCCGCGACTAAGGGGTCTAATCGGAACTACTCGCGTAAGGCCTCCTTCTATCGCTCGATACCCGGGCTAGTTTAAAGGAGCGTACGTCGATCGTTAGTAAGGCCGTAAAGGTACTAAGCTAAGGCGGAGCCCTAAAGGCATTTATATAGTAATAGACGTAGGGTTGCTACTAGATACTCGCCTACTTAAATAGCTATATCGAGGCAAGTAATAAAAGCAAAAACGTCTCGATAATAGGCCGTATTACTAATATATATAACTAGGCCTTTGCCCTTACTCTCCGGAAGGTCCTTATTAAAATACCTAACTTGCTTAGGCTTAAACTTATAGAGCGCGACCTCCTAACTAAAGTCCGTAACTAGAGTATAAGGAGGACTAGCGTATAGTAGAGTATATACGTCGGCGGGCTCGAACCTCGGGTCTATAAAGCCGGCCCTATCTTAGGTAGGCCTAGGATTGCCTTTAGCGCTAAGGCCTCTATAGGCGTAGCGTTCTAAGCTAATCTCTAGTACGATACTAGCTCGAGCATTCCGATTCTAATTAGCTAGCTACTTAGCTCTAGTCGCATCTTAGCTAGTTCGGCTACGTATCGCGTAAAGATTTCTATATCGCTACTGCCCCGGTAGCCTAGAATAGTTATTATTCGGTCGTAGGGCCGCTAAGGCGGCGTTATTAGACTATATTACCTCTACTAGTTTTCCTACTAATGCCTCTAGCTTATCGTATCTAGTATTGTCGTTATTAGCGCTAGCGGAGGTATTGTTATTTCTGTTATTCCTAGCATTAGTATTAGTATTAGTAGTAGCGTTGTTATTAGCGGTAACCTCGTCGTTAAAATGCCTAGTAGACTTAGTATTCCTCCTTCGCTATCGCTATTCGTCGGTAAGGAACAATTTAGGGATGCTATTCGTATCGATAGTATAGCGCTATTCTAAGGCTGTCGGAGGTAGTGCTCTACTAGCTTCTATACCCTTATCTCTGCTTTTGTTCTTAGCTCTTATAGCCTCCTTATAGCCTTCGTTAAACGCTTGTTAGATTTAGGCCTATATCTCGATCTCGTAAGCCTCGCGCTATTCGTCTAGTGCCCTCTATAGACGTATACGATCCGTAGCTCGATTATTATCTACCTTAGTGCGTTGCTCGGCTAGCTACTAAGCTACCTAGGACTTTATTTGTCTAATTTTATCTCGCTATTTAGCGCCGGCTATACCGTTTACCGGTACTATAGATTCTAGAGCCTACTTACCTAATATGTCTTCTCCTTCTAGCTAGGAATCCGGTAGTAAGCTAAGTATCGAACTGCTAGACACCGAGATTAATAAGCTCTCGCAAGGCTTAGGAGGCGGGTCGTTTTTATAAAAGGCACCGAAATTCTTAAAAACGTTACCTATTAGCGGGTTAATTTTAAAGGACTCCCTACGTCTATTAGGCCTAGCTTAGCCTAAGTTCTCTTCCTCGATTAAGCGGCGGACGCCCTACTTCTCTAGTCGTAGAGGGATATAAACCTTGCGGCGACGTAGCTAATTCTCGCCGGCGGCCGGACTCTCGTCGGTAGACTTAAGGTGTTCTACTAGCTACTAAGCGAAGTATAGGCTATCCGACTAGTACGAAGTTAGACGATATACCTATCGGGTAGCGGAAAGCGATAGAGAGTTGTCGTTAATCTACGAACTAATAATCTTAGCGTGTATTTAAGGCTTAGGAGTTGCGTCTTTGTTTATATCTAGAACGCGGGACTACGACCTTAGGCGACGTAGAGGTTTAGCCTTCTCCGGATCCTCGTACTACTTAGTAATAGCGATAACTCTATATCTAAGATCCTTCTTAAATAGCTTATTTAGACACTACTTTAGTTTTAAGAAGGCTAGTAGTATATATACTATATAAACTAGGTAGTATCTATCTTCCTTTAATTCGGGAAGAGTATAATTCTTCTAGGCTATAGGCGGCGGATCGTTCGGAGATTCCTAGTCCTTTAATACTATAAGCTCCTATATTAAGACGTAGATATTGTTCGCTAAGAGACGGAATAGGGCACCGTCTTAATATTAACCGTAGGTGCAGACGTAGTAGCTACCGTAAGAGTAATCGGAACCTTCTATATCCTTGTACCTAAAAAGGGAAGTTAGGAGGGTTAGGTGCCTAGCTCCTGCTAACCCGAAATGTCGTTCCTACCCTTAGCAAGTAAGGGTATTAATAGAGGGAGCGTAAAGCGCGCCGCGGCGCTAGGCTAGGTCTATTGTTAATTTCCGTGCCGATTCGCTAGTAGGTCTCGTATGTTTTCGTACTAAATTACAGCCTCTTTCTTGTAGTATAGCTGCGGCGTTTAATAGTACGGAAAGTAGTATTAGAGTAGTTCGTTAGGACTCTCCTTCGGCGCGGAGGACTTTCGCCTTAGAGAGGGGAATAGTAAACTGTAGTTCGGATAGTCCGTTTAGAGACGGTTAGTGCGTGTTTTACGCTAGTGCTCGAAGCGAAGCTACTATTTTGTTATATATCGTATATTATAAAGTAGATAATTATTCTAAGTCTATCTAGGCTTAGAGAAGTATATACTATAGTAGGCTAGGGCCTCTTACCTAGCCTATGCCTGTGCCTGCTTTCGTAACACTTAGTTTAGTACTAGCTTATTATTTAGTCTATTAATTAGCTTATTATTTAGTTTATTATTTACTTTGTTCTCTAGTTTTTTATTTAATCTATTATTTGCTTTACTATTTAGTTTCTTCTCTAGTTTATTATTTACCTTCTTTTTAACTTTATTATAAGTTATTTATTTACTAGAATATAATTTATTTTATTAATTGTTTAACTAATTGTTTAACTAATTGCTTTACTAATTGTTTAATTAATTATTTAATTAATTGCCTTACTAATTGTTCTACTATTGTTTTATTTATTGTTTTATTAATTGTTTTGTTAATTGTTTTGTTAATTGTTTTGTTAATTGTTTTGTTAATTGTTTTATTTATCGTTTTATTAATTAGTTTACTAATTGTTTTGTTAATTGTTTTGTTAATTGTTTTATTAATTGTTTTGTTAATTGTTCTATTAATTGTTTTATTAGTTGTTTTATTAGTTGTTTTATTAGTTGTTTTATTAGTTGTTTTATTAGTTGTTTTATTAGTTGTTTTATTAGTTGTTTTGTTTGTTGTTTTGTTAATTGTTTTACTAACTAGGATAGTACCCGTACGTAAGTACTTCTGCTCCTTCTACTTACGTAGTAATAGCGGTAGCGCCCGCGAGTTTTTAAATTTTATATATACCTAGTATAGCGGAGCCGCGAATTTTAGGGTTCCTCGCTCTTATTCTCGCTCTCGTTCCTTTAATATTTTTTAGTAATTTTATAAATTTAAATCGTATGTTTTCTATAATTAAAATTAATTTTTCTATAGGTTCTTTTATTAAAAGTTGTTTTATAAATTCTTTTATTAATGTTTTAGTTAATTTTCTTATTAATTTTCTTATTAATTGTTTGTATATTTTACTATATATTTTACTATATATTTGAAGTATTAGAAGGAAGGCAAAAGGCTTTACTAGCGGTTGTTCGGGAAGTCGGCGGTTGTTCGGGAATTCGGCGCTTGTTCGGGAAGTCGGCGCTTGTTCGGAGATACCGGCGCTAGCTCCGAAAGTCTCCACTTGTAGAAATTGACCAATTAGGTATACAGGATTCTAAAATCCGGGGTCGGCTTAGCGTTACGTATAGCTAAGTGTATATTTAGTAACGTAGAGTAGTACTCTCCTTGCTATTATAAGGCGAGCTTCGCTCGCAATAAAATAGTATATATAGCTTAGTAGTACTATAACATACTAGCTATACTTCTATACTATATATAGTTTATAATAAAACCGAATTAAATCGAGCCTTTTCTCTAGTAGAGAAGTTATATATATTTAAATATTTAAATATTTAATTTACTTTCTATAGTCTACTATTTTAGAATTATATAGTATAAAGTCTCTATATTGTTTTCTACTACTCTTAATTTTATAAAAAAAAATCTATAGTAAAGAAATATTTTTTAGCTATTTAGTTAGTAGTATTTCTAAGTATATTTTTTTAAATTCTAGATATTGCTATAGGTGAGATAGATATAAGAATACAGTACAGATTCGCGATTGCTAATGAATTACCGGGGTCCGCGAATCTCGCGTGGCTAGCGCGAGCTGGGCACGCTTACCTTAGCAGCACGAGCAGCTTTCGAGCTAGCCTCAGTTTAAAAAGTTGAGCAAGTACTGTGAGCAGACCGACCCCACCAGCCCACTTCAAAATCAATCATCTCCCCCAACTGTGAGCAGCAACGCACCACCTTTGTCTCCGACTCTCACTGACAAGTACTCGAGAAACATCATCCAGAAACACAGCAATCATGGTCGTCAACGTACGTTTCACCGCCCACCACACCGCCCACCACACCGCCGGAGATGGAGGGAAAACAAACGCTGATAGGCTGCGAACAGGTCGGTATCAACGGTTTCGGTCGTATCGGCCGCATTGTCTTCCGCAATGCGTGAGTTCATCAAGAGCAAGGAGTCTTCTATATACAGTCAAGAGGACTGACGCAGAATAGCATCCAGCACGGCGATGTCCAGGTTTTGGCCGTCAATGACCCATTCATTGAGCCACACTACGCTGTAGGTCAGGATAGAGCCCATACTGCCGGTTCATGGCTCGGGCGGGCTCTGTGCAGCTTCCGAAAGCTCCGCTGACTCTGTCAAGGCGTACATGCTCAAGTATGACTCCACACACGGTGTTTTCAACGGCACAATTGAGGTCGACGGCAACAAGGGTCTGATTGTCAATGGCAAGAGCATCCGCTTCTACATGGAGAGGGACCCAGCCAACATTCCATGGAGCGAGACCGGTGCTCACTATATTGTTGAGTCGACTGGTGTCTTCACCACCACTGAGAAGGCTCAGGCACACTTGAAGGGTGGCGCGAAGAAGGTTGTCATCTCTGCACCATCTGCTGACGCACCAATGTTCGTCATGGGCGTGAACAACAAGAGCTACACTTCCGACATTCCAGTCATCTCCAACGCCTCCTGCACAACCAACTGCTTGGCTCCTCTCGCCAAGGTCATCCACGACAAGTTCACCATGATTGAGGGTCTCATGACCACCATCCACTCCTACACTGCAACTCAGAAGACTGTCGACGGACCATCCGGCAAGGACTGGCGCGGTGGCCGTACCGCCGCTCAGAACATCATCCCATCCTCAACTGGTGCTGCCAAGGCTGTCGGCAAGGTCATTCCAGAGCTCAACGGCAAGCTTACTGGCATGTCCATGCGTGTGCCAACCTCCAACGTCTCCGTTGTTGACCTGACTTGCCGCATTGAGAAGGGAGCTACCTACGAGGAGATTACACAGGCGCTCAAGGATGCCGCAGCTGGCGAGCTTAAGGGTAAGCAGCAGATTGAGGAACAACGCTACATTGCAGAAGTTGACACATTCCGCAGGCATCCTTGACTACACTGACGACGACATCGTCTCCAGCGACATGAACGGCAACCCACACAGCTCCATCGTCGATGGCAAGGCCGGCATTGCCCTCAACAAGAACTTCGTCAAGCTCGTCTCTTGGTACGACAACGAGTGGGGTTACTCCCGCCGTGTCGTTGATCTCTTGGCCTACATTGCCAAGGTTGATGGCAACGCATAAGCGAATGGAAATGATGGCGAAAAGCACACCTACTTTCAGGAAGCCAGAGTCCCAACCCTACTTTCGGCATGCGGTTTGACGTATCATGGATGAACGTAGCTAGCAGACCAGCAGACTAGCAGAATGAGAGCATGAAATAGAAAAAAAGTTATGATCTCTCTTCGGAGGACAGGGAGTTTTCTCAAGTATCAGCTTGCGTTTCAGTAATTTGTGATATCTGGACTGTTTCTAGCTTCTACATATGAGCTTCGGATGCAAGATGCCCTCTGATGAGGTGTGAGCAGTATATTCTCTGGAACACTCAGAACTCCAAGACCATGATACCAGCTCCTCTTCGATAGGCGTGTCGGCACTGAAGATGTCTCTTATCTACATCTGAGATCCTCGTAAGAGGGCTTGAACATTCTCTTCTTCTTTTTCGGCTTCTTCGTACTGCTTGACGAGGAGCTGGAAGTCGAGTTGGAAGTCGAGTTGTATGGATTCGGGGTGTTTGTCGTTGTGTTGTAAGTAGCATCCTTTGGCAACTTTTTGGTCTGCATAGTAGCATTACCTTCACGATAAGTACTCTCAGCAGTACCAACAGTCTTGTAGTCACTGTGCCGACAGCTCTCTTTACCAGTCGCGATGTCCTTGCCTGAGATTGCTCGCTCAAACATTTCGAGTGCGAGAAGTGGTTGGTAGAATGGCACCTGGTGTCCAGACTCATAGACGCGAGCGAAAGCGAAGTTGGCGGATTGCTTCACCTGGCCGTGGACGATATTGTCGGAAGTTGAAATGTTCACGTAGCCAGCGGAGGAGAAACCGGGTGCTTTGATGTTCTTCGCAACTTGTTGACCTCCGAGCCTAGATATTCTGTGTAAGCATTGAACCAGATCTCTTGCAGGATTGATAGCTTACCAGTTGCAATTGTAGTCTGCATCTCCGGCATACTGCACGAGGTAAATGCCTTTCTTGATAAGTCTACGAAGTGCAGCATAGATGCCCTCCTCGCGTCCATCGTCTCCAGTCGATTCGAAAGTATATTCGACAGCACTGCTAGACTCGGTGAAATTGACGTAAGCCCCGATGGCTTTCTGCAGCTTTGGTGTATTCAGGTAGTCCAGGTAGAAGCTGTACGGAAAACGACCCGGACTCAGCTCTCGGATATCGTATTCATCTCGGCCTGTGATCCTGCCCAGAGTGAACTCGACCTGATTACCACAGAAGTTGTCCGCTTTGGAACAGATGGAGTCAATGCCTCTCGTGTTGCAGTCCACGGTCTGGTCGTGGCAATTCCCTTTGCCCCACATGGCATTGTAGATCTGAGCTTCAGTGGAGGCATTGTAAGGCGAATAGTCGTAGGTGTTGCCTGGGTACACCTGAAAGCCAAAAAGGATTGATCAGCACATGTCTCAATCAGGCGTCGTAAGAGGTTCAGCTCAAACGAAGAGGGCAGAGGTACCGCAGCTGGAAGGCTTTTGCACGCGCTGTCATGAATCTTCGCGGAAAGGGACAAGTGTTACAGATTCACTTACAGTAAAGTTGTAGTATGCTGCGTTATGTACCAACGGGTCATACCATCCATTGCCGATCAGCACAGTCTCTAAGCTGATGTGGTGAGCACCTTCCAATTTTCCAGCCGCGATCAGATCGTTCTGCTTCTCAATGTAATCGTTGAAGATCGGACCGTAGTGCCCTCCGTACGATTCCGTTGCAAAATTGAACCCATTCCTCGAATATTCTGGGAACGCCCCCATGAACCCCTAAGCATAATCAGCCATGCTCCTTTTGCAGCCACTTATGGTGCAAGGTCACCTGGAGGGTCCTCCACATCGATGGTGCTGCGTTGACGGTCGAGTCTGCGGTGTCGGTTTGGTTCGGGTAGGAATAAGTGCCACAGTGTAGATCCGCTGCGTAGTCCGGGCAGGTGTTGTTGGGGAGTTGAACGAACTCCCCTTTCCTCATGTAGCCTGGGATTGGTTTCGAATATGAAAATCCTGCCGCGGCTGTCAGAAACGATCTTTGGATCCATGAATGTCCTTTCTGTGACAATTATGCAGCCAGAATGCAAGCAAATTGGCCGTGTGAATTCCTCATGCGAAATCCTATCGCGTCCGTGCTGAACAGATAGCTCGTTCAGGAACAAGAGAATCCGCATCTTTGCTTGGCTACTACTTCTTCGGCGTTTGCTTACCTACTTGAGCCGGGTGATCAATGAAGATCATATTTGAAGCATTGCTGGACAGTGTTAGTCTCACTGATGTCTCAGCTTGCCTCTTGCAAATACTGACTTCCACGCATATGGATTGTAATATACCTTTCCATCTTTTTTCACAGAACATGGGCCTATCTCTTCAAACAATCCCCCCATACTAGGCGATCCAGGTCCGCCATTAATCCAAACTGTAAGAGGTGCCTTCGTCGGATCATCGTTGCGTGCTTCGAAGAACCAGAAGAAGATGTGCTGATCTTCAAAAATATCGACGTAGCCACTATAACTCTTTACGCCTGGCGTCAACTCGCAAGTGCCTTCTGGCACCAGCTTCGATCGCACTGGTATATCGAGGTATCCTTTGCTTGCATTTAGGTCCGTTGGAGCCGGTAAAAACTGAGCGAGAGAAGGTGCAGCAAGAGCACTAAGCAGCGACGCTCTGACAACGAATGACATGGCGGTATTTCCCCACTGACCTTCAGTGACAGAAACGCAGTGTTCCCGCCTTTTGGTCGCAGCAGTCCAGCAGTCAGAAGTGAATCACACACAATGACCGACCGAAGGCTCACGATAAACATTAGCTATCAGTAGCGTGGCCATTGCGTATGTCTGTCTCCCGGCGAACTGTGTCCCAGGCTGCCAGCAATGGCGTTATCTGGCTAGGTAGACCTTGCCTATGAGATTTAGTGATTAGAAGCTACCTGGTAGAGCATTTTCTAAAGAACGTAGAGGTCCATATCACCGTCGGATAGAAGATGCACAAATAATCTGCAGCACGATCTATGATAAATGCAAGTCGTGAAGCTCGTCGCCTATGGTGGACAACCTGTGGCATAGTGCAATCCAAGATATTCGCCAGCCCGAGCACTCACTTCCCAAGTCGTCTTGCATTCTGCTTCCTGCAACGATGTTGGCCGAGAAACAGTCTAACAGACCCCAGGGATAAGTATTTATAGATGTCCTTGTTTCAAGGTTTTGAGGCTTGCAACTATGAACAGACCAGAATTGCTTGTGCGCGTTGCTCTGCACGCAAAATATTCTACCCTGCGTCACCAAACCTTGCTATTTGGCAGCGAAAATGCCGATACATTGCAGTCATCTGGACAGGCGTGCAAGCTCTTACTTGATTCGACTATCCAATGATGACGCTGATACGACAAATTACAGTGCCGAGAGATATAACATGGTGTTCGCAGCATGACGCGCCTCATCGCGTACTTGCAGCAGGTTCCAGGTTGACACTTGTAGGTCCACAGTTCCGTTTGTACACCAGTCCTTCTGGGACTTGCATCTCAATATGAGGAATCATGAAGCTTCTGGGTTGCCAAAGAGGCACGAGCCGACGATATGGACCTCGCGCCCTGACCAGCTATGGTTGTGGAATGGCTGCAACCCACAATTGGCACCCTCTGAGATATTGAAGGCTGTGTCCTGGCGGCAGAGGATACCAGAAAGATTGCGGAACAAGATAGGCAAGAGCTTCGGAAGGCGCTGGACACAGCTCAAGAGTGTATCATCGCAGCTGAGAAGGATGTCAAGGAGAGTGAAGATACCATAAGAGCTCTAAAGAAGCAAGTTGATGATGGAAGCAGACAGTTCGCGGAAGCTCGATCCACAAATGCGAAGAACATAACCGAATGGCAGATTCCAGTCGATCCAATGTCGCCCTGGAGGCGGAAAAAGCTGTATTGGCACGCGAGAAGGCTGCTCGGCAAGCCGAGAAGATTGCGATGGGCATTGATAGAACGAATGCATGCAACGAAATAATTCCAGCGTTGATGGAAGATACTGCAGCTCCTATGGGCAATGTTCCTCTTGCGATTCGAGACGGGAAGACCGCTTATACAAGCTGTCCAGGTGGTAAGAACTGCGCCAGCGGTCGGTGTGTACGCCTCCATCCAGGACAGTGGGAAGGGAACGTGGTCAATGGGATGTAGTCGATATCAACGAGAACTGGATGAAGAAGGGCTCGACATCAAAAAGACTCAGGTGCATTTGAAGTATTCTACGAGCCACCAGTCCGAGATCCTGGCTTGTAGGGGAACTTCTCTCTGTAATGCTTTGCGATGTCTCTCCTTGTAGTCACCTTCACACTCGGCTGCGACAGGAGTTGTAGAGAATCCCTATGCCGAAGGCTACTCAGCCGGAGGGAGTAGCAGCGGTAGCGGTACACTAGTTGCGCTTGGCGAGGTTGATATGAGTGTAGGAGCCGACCAGGGCGGTAGTGTGCGAATACCATGCACTGTATGTCTCCTTTCACTCGAAGCACTTCAACCAGACTGGACATCCAGTGCTGGCAATGCCGATTGGAAGATTGAGTGCCTGGAAGGGCCTTCCGCTGGAAATGGCGACGTGAAATTGCCGGTCGGCATGCAAGTCATCGGTAAATGGTGGGAGGAGGAGAAGGTCTATCGAGTAGGGTATGCGTGGGAGTTGGCGAATGATTGGAAGCAGATGTAGAAATTGCCATCGGTCGATGGTTCTAATGCCAGGCCGATCATGAGCTTGATACTTTGGAGCAGCTTTTGGTATTCAGACTCAACTGGAGACTTCTGGCCTCCAAACTCAGCCTGCCCCAGACGGACATCCGCATGCCTTCGCGAGTTGGTGACACAAAAGATGCTTCAAGGCTCCACTTCGGCATCGAACAGAACTTGGTGAAGCTGCTCTGTCGCACCCTGTGTCTCGGCGTTCTAGTCTCACTCACTTTCTGCGATTCAATCGATGGCGTTAGCCAGGCAACAATCAGTAAGATCGCCTTTTCACAATTCAGAAAAGTGATCAGAGCTCCGGTCACTTCTCTAGTCCCATTTCGAAGTGCTGCTCCAGAAAATGCCCGAGCTGTCTGACTTGGACGGCCTGCTGGCTCAGTTCAAGGAGCAGGCTCGAGAGACCATTCGCGCAGAATTCCGCGCAGAAACCGAAGTTTTACGGACCAAGAATCGCCTGCTGCAAGACAAGATAGACGAGAAGGATCTTCTTTACCAAGATGCCATCTGCGAGAAAGATGAGCTGGCCCAACAAGCGCAGTCCCAACAGCTGGAGATCACAAAGTTACACGCTCGACTGAAACGCGAAAGCTCGCTGCGCAGTAGCCGGATTGGTAGTACACAAGAAGGGAAACGTGGAAGCTTCGAGGGTGAAATGGATCAGAAGGCGCCTTCCATCAAAGCGGATAGAGACCTGGGCGAAAAACGTGAACTGGCCCAGCAGTCTCTGCGGGACCAGAACGAGGCAATGGCCGGATCAGTCACATTTGGAGGGTTCGAGATTTTAGAGAGACCTGGCACCAGGTTCTATCGGGAGATGTTCGACGGCAGTACCTTTAACGATGAAGGAGCAGCATTGAGGTAAGTTCGATCGGAACATGAGTGCTCGCAAAAATCTGCGCACAGACTCTCGAGGACTTCCTCTCTCTATGGATCCAGACTGACGAATCTCAGAAAATTGTCCATGTTTTTCAAGCCCTCCAAAGTCAAGCCAGAAATCTTGCGGCCTCATCAATGGCAGCTGCTCGGCATCGAGACGAGAACGGAAGAGGACAAGGAGGAACCCGACCAAGACCCAATAGACTCATTGTCTCCCGAGCCTCAAGACTTGGAGAGCCCAAAGACTTCTTCCAAGCTTCCAAAGCAGCCTCGGGTGCAGCGCGGGTACGAGCAGCGGGTACAAGCTCGCAGTACCTGGCTGAACAAAGATGCCTCATGTGCAGTCAAGGACAAGGGTCTAGAATCCGATACGCGATGTCCAGGGCTCGCAAGCGTTGTACCCAGGAAACGAGATGCTGAGGAGTTTGAGATTCAAGACATAAGGTCTGAGGTAAGCCGCCTTTGGTTTCCGTTCTCATTACAATTAAAAGATCACACATTGACACACGTCAGGACTTCAATACAATGTTCAATCGGCGTCGTTCCGTCTGCCTTCGCTGCTGGCGCACAGGTGAGCGCTGCGACCAACGCGGTCAGTGTGGAGCTTGCAAGAGGGCCGGAGTGACTTGCGTGCATAGTCTGTGCCGAAATGGTCTGAGTTGCCTGGTTCGGTGCCCGCGACTCCATCCTGATCAGTGGGAGCCGCTTGATCGGGACTGGGTCATTAGCGAGGAGGATATGGACGGCAGAAACAAGGGTGTAGATGGCGACCCTCGAAGGAATGTCAATTGGCGCGTTCTGGATAGTTGGAGGCCCGAGGATGACCACATGGCAAGGTACTATTAGAGCCGACCGTTCCAAATACCGTCCACACGGCACTACTAGCAGAAAGATGAAAGGCTCTTCAAGTCTCTATACTGCTGCATAAGAATGTGAGAGAGCATCCGTGGCAGTTATCGTTCTCGCCTGGGGACTAGCAATCTGTGCAAAGTAAGAGCTCTCCAGCTCTGTCGCAGCTGGCAATCTGGTGAGTCCCCAAGCCAGGATGCTGCGAAGTCAGTCATGAATGTCAGGAATGAAAAGGCCGAAAAAAATTTCAAACATGCCATTTCCGCTTCCTTTATACAGTTGGCACACACGTTGCAGCTGGTAGTAAGATACAAAGCGGTTCCTCTACTCTCCACACTTCTTTTGCCGTATCTCGTTCTACAGTGCACAAAGGGAAAATACGCCCTGATGAGTTGCGTTCGTTATGCGAGAACCGCTCTAATAGTCCATGATTTGCGCACCAAGTAGCCAAGAGCTAGATCTATTCCTTTGGTTTTGGTGGTGATTGCACGGCACCTGGGCCCTTGTAGTCTGGATTGCCAACGAAGGTGATTGGCTCGATCCTGTTGTCCTGTGGAATGAAGTGTCAGTAAGACAGTTCCGGTCAGGGGAGGACGCGAGGACATGGCCTCTAGCTCATGTGCGCAACGCGTTGCCTGTGCCTCATATGCTTACCCTCATATACTCATTGGTGGCTTCCTGCCACTCCTTGTTCATCGTGTGTGGTGTGCCGCGCGCGAAGTAGCGAGTGATGCCAAAGATACCGCCTGCTACCATAATGCCAATTACCGTATAGAGAAAGACCTTAGCGTTCTCGCCAGGAGGATCCTGTGCGCGTGGTCCATGGGGCCCAAAGGCAATCCAGTATGCTGTGAGTGCATTAGTTAGGCATATATGTTCTCTGAAGCCATCCTCCGATCCCAATGCCCTCCGTATCGCTCTTCGTAGTTCCCTCCGGTGTTTTCCCGGCCTTTTCCCAAGCACCGCCGTCTTACACGCGCATACTGCCAAAGTGTTGCAATACAATCTCAGACCCAGGTATAAGAGCCTTGTGACCTACCAGCTTTCTTCTCCTGGAGCGTAAGCTCGTTCCAGTCAACCTTCATGCGATCCCGAAGAGCCATCCATAGGTCGGCCTGCTCTTGTGGCGGCATGGCCTCCCATCGCTTCTCGATGTTGGCGAGTGTCGGATTGGAGATAGCGTGAGCATTCCGCACTTGCTGCGACCGTGCGAGAGGTGTGAGTGATGCAGCGGTCGCGCGTGTGGATGCTAATGAGCTAGGGAGCCGGCGGAGGAGAGGAGTAATCCGCAGCATCGTCATCGCGGTGGGCGGGGAGGAGCGGAGAGGTCGAGCGGGTCAATGGGGAAAGGAGGTCGCAATTGGTGCTTGGCCGTATGCAGCGGTCGTGTATGGAGTGTTATGTCGGCGCGGGAAATGGTGTGCAGTTTGTCGTCTGGAGCTCGAAAGTCTGCTCAAGATTTAGCTTAGCAAAGGATGGCTCTCATTGGCTCTTGCGATCTCGCCGAGTTCACCCGGCATCGTCATTGCTTTCTCACACGACACTTTCCAGTGCTGGCAACACAAAATAAATCTAGCGTGTATAGTCGCCTTCCTACATCAATGCCCCTAGGTATCTAATTCATTGAGATAGATGAAAAGGTATAGCATTGTGTCCACGAGCATTCCCAGCGCACGAAGCAGAAGCAGCGGCGTTTTTGCCGGTCGTCGAAAGGGCTGATCGGTAGGCGAGCAGGTTGTTCATAATGACAAGTCTGACTCCAGGTCTCCTGATCTTTCGAAGTGCACATCGGACCGCGTCCGCGTGAGATCAGGGCTCCGGCAAGACTGAGGGCAAAGCTGTGCGAAATCCGCTGCCTTAGCCGTGCCGTGCCAGTGCCATTCGATTATTTCCATGCTCATCCATTCGTTAACTATATACTCTTGCTAATCGCTGTACGCTAATCACTCAATCCAGCTCCGACTAGTCAACACGACAATCTTAGCTCACGCTGTTAGCGCTCACCTCAGCCATGGCCGGTCTTCTCTGCTGGTCACCAGGATGGGGGAATCGAGCCTTGTCGTCTGCTACCTTACGCTTGAACAGCCCCAGGTCCTTCAAGAGCTCGTCGACATCAGCCTGCCAAACATCGTGTTCGAAATCACCAAACATCGAGGAGCCGTCGTCCATGCCGCTATCATGGTCCGACTCTCCGTACTCAGATGGCTCACTATTCTCCTCATCCTCGTAGTTTGTGGGAATGACGATCGGGTTCTTCAGCTCGCCCACGGCCAGTCTCAGATGCAATCTCAGAGCCTCGATCTCCGTCTTCAAGGCTTCGTTCTGTGGACGTAAATCTTCCACTTCTTGGGTGAGAGCACGAATCTTGACTTCGGATACTGCGCGAGATTCTTCCATGGCGCGTTGCATTTTGCTGACTTGTCGTTGATAGTCTTCCAACTCGTCTCGGGCGCGATCAGCTTCGTCTCTCTTGCGGGTTGCAGCAGCATTGACGGAAAGTTGGAGCTGCTTGATGGTCTCTTGCATTTCCAAGATCTTTGCATCACGCTCCGCTGCCGACACAGCATCCTGGTTGACGTGTGCCTTGGTGCGGATACGCTTGGCTTGGTCTGCATAGCGAAGTGTCGAGAGAGTTTCTTCGTAGTCGGTGGGCGAGATGCAGGCAACCATTGCTGTCTTGCTGTTGCCGCCCAGAGAATCTTTGAGCAGCCATGTGAGAACACTGTCTCGGTAGGGCACGACTTCTGCTCGACGCTTCGGTTGGTTCGCCATACCGGTCATGCGCGACACTCGCTGGCGCTTTGGATCCGCCAACGCAGCAATGACTCGGCCAAGAGTAGTGAGGGACTGATTGATGTTGCTACCCTCCCTCAGTCTCGCTCCCGTGGCCTCGGTCTTGTTCGCGCGTTCTGAGCCTGCCAAATCCACCAATCTCATGCGAGCGACTCGCTCGATCGTGCTGTCTGTGGCGATATCATGCTGGATCTGCTTCAGAGTGAGGGTGAAGACAGCGTGTGATCGTGAAGATGTGTCGTTCATCTTTGTGCTCGCCGTCGTCCGATTCATGTCGCCCACCTTCATCAATCGCTCAATGTCCTCGTAGCATCGGACAGGTTCGTCCGAGAGATTCTGAACGTAGACACCATCGCTCTTGCTTTCTCTGATCTTGAGGTAGGTGGGCGGATTTGTCTTCGGTGTGAGCAGATCCTTGACGTGCTCGTTGTAGATCTCGAAGTACGAGACGTGGACGTTGTATGTTATACTGCCATTCTGCTCCGCTTCTATTCTCTCAAACAAGCCTCGACATGTGCGAGGAATGAGACCTGGTTGATCGAGGGTACCCATCATAGTGTATGACTTGCCACTACCCGTTTGACCGTACGCGAAGATGCAAGTATGGTAGCCATCGAAGTTGTGGTCGAGGAAGTCTTCGCCGAAAGAATCGTAAACATGCGACTGGCCAGCGAAATGTGCATCGGAATCGCTGTGTGACCAGAAAGACTTGTCGAAGGTGAACTTCTTCTCTTCGTATTGCTTGCGAGTGTTCTTGGCCTCCTCTTCTGTAAGCTCAGGCGGGAGCAGGGTTGTTTCTTGTGTAAGTGGATTCATGCGAATGATACACGGCGATCGCTTGTCGATTTCTAGCCCACAATCAGCACTATAGATGAAGTAGCGCCATGTCGATACGCATACCTCTCTTGACAAATTTGCGCACTCGAACAACGACCTTGACGTTTCCGCCGTCTGCATCGGGCGGCGTAAATGGTCGCTCCATGTCGATGGGCTCGCGACTGCGCAGACTGGGACTGCTTGCCGTCGAGTGGTATTGATCGAGCGAAGTGTGAGGTCGCATCGCCATGTTGGAAGTTGAGTTCGGGAGCAGCTGCGGGACGGTGATGTCGGCGAAGGTGTCGCACAAATCCTCGAGCACTTCTTCCCTGCGAAGACGAAGGAAAGTGAACATCGACTACGCCTACCGCATTGACTCTACATCGTTGTTGGCGCCGTCTGTGCACGCATCCGCATCCGCTAATCACAAGCAGAACATCACCCGAGTGGTGCGCGGAGAGTCTTCGCAGACAAGGCAAGGCATCAGCGTTTGCCGCCTTGTTGTCGCACGCAAACGACTTTGGCCCGGCAACCAAGCAAGCATCGCATGTGACGTAGCGCTAGCAGGGTTCACAAGTTCGGCTGCGGGGCGGGGCGGCATCGCGAGTCACGTCAAAAAAGATTCGAGCTCCAGAGTGAAGGACATTGACAACGCTATGGATCGATAACACCAACCTATACCACGACAATGCCTCCCAAGAAGCCTCCTGCTGGCGGCATTACTGCGCCAGTGAAAACAGAAGGCCCTGGTGCAGCCCAAAATGCAGAACAACCATCCGCAAGCACGCCAGTATCAATTTCTTCAACTCCAACCGGCACACCTGCACCGCCAAGCCGTGGTGGTCCAGTGTCGCGACCGTCATCTTCAGCGCGAGGCAAGCCGGCGATCGCTCCAAAGCCGAAGTTCGCTGGGAGACGTTCAGCAACGGCTCGAGCAGAATTAGAGGCAGCCGAAGCAAAGAAGAAGGAAGCTGAAGCCAAAGCTGCTGCTGAGCAGGCCAAGAAGGACGCCAAAGATGCGCGAAAGTTTGGCTACAGGGGTAATGATCGTGGCGGACGAGGAGGAGGGCGTGGTGGCAGAGGGAGAGGAGGACACATGGGAGATGCCCATCGTCAACGGCATGAGTCGAACGCGACAGGTGTGTTTGGCGGAGGACAGGCAAGTGCCGAGGCCAGGAGTGGATGGGGAAGTAGGCGCATTGGAGGAGGTGGTGGTGGAGGCGGTGGGAGAGGCACTCATACATCTGGAGGGTCGGGTGGAGGATCGGGTACTGGTGGAACATCTCGTCCTTCTTACTCCAGCGGTGGCATGGGCATTAAGAACGAACTTGACGTGGATATGGGTGGTATGCGCCCGATCAAAGTCGAGGAAGGAGGCTATATTTCAAGTGACGAGGACGAAGCTGAGGGCCAGGTTGGTCCAAAGCAGGACATTGATCAGCTGCAAATAATCGACCTGACTGGAGATGAACCACCGCTTGAAGACCCCTTCGCTCCTGTACGGTTATCGCGGGTACCTCACAAGGAGCGAGCCATAGGTCTGACTGTCGAAGAAGACTCGCCTGAGTCAAGTGACGCCCCGGAAGCTGTCTCCGAAAAGAGGAAGGGAAAACAAAAGGCAAAAGATGTCGAATTTACGGGTTCCAGCGCCATACCGAAACGACCCACGACGTACAGCTCCTCGGAAACTGAGGAGAACGAACATCCTATCAAGCAGGAATCTACTGAGGACGAGCGTCAAACGAGACCACGAACGCCAGATCCTGCGACTGCTGGTACTGGAGCTGAGATCGTAAGCCCCTCGAGAGACCTTCCAGTCTCACCCGAAAGCAGACGGCGAGCCAAGGCCAGGATAAAAGCGACAGCAGATGCTCTCGATGACGATCTTTCCGACTTTGAGATTCCCGATCCACCTCGCTTTCAGACTCAGGCCGAGAAGGACGAATGGGATCGCCAGTACGATGACCTCCGACAGATACGCGTCGAGTTTGGCCGCCAAATACCCAAAGATGCTGTGCAGCCTGACGCAGAAGGCGACACGGCGATGGCTGAAGCTAACGCCAAGCTGGAGAAGCTGAAGGTCGCGGAAGAAAGTCGCAACCAAAACGTCTACATCTTTCAATTTCCTCCTGTCCTGCCCGATCTGATGCCTGTCAGCGTTAAGCCTGAGCCGGGTACTGCGGAGGCAGACGGAGAAGGTGAAGCGATGGATGTAGATCAAACAGCTGAGAAGACCGTGGAGGTCAATGATGACGAATCCAAGAATACCCAACCCAAGCTACCTTCTGGCAACGTAGGCAAGTTACGAATACATAAGTCTGGAAAAGCGACGTTGGACTGGGGCGGGACAAGTCTTATATTGGGCAAGGGTGCAGACGCTACCTTCTTGCAAAACGTGCTCATCGCCAGTGTCCCAGACGGGAAGCCGAAGGAGGGGGAGCCAGCTCCTGAGGATCAAGAGCCTGCAGTAGGCATGGGCATGGGACAGATCAGAGGCAAATTTGTCTTTACGCCGAACTGGACCGAGATCTTGAGATGATGAGAAGGAAGCATCTTGCATATACTTCCATGAACTTTTAGCGAAGGCGTCCCGGGATATTGGCTCCATTTAGCTCCTAGGTGTTAGATTATCCTCCAGGCCACATCATCGAGTTGAAATGCACGGCACTATGGTAAGGCGGAGTCTGATTGCTCCGCCTAAGCAGTCAATAGACGAGAGATGAAGAGCTTTATAATTACTCTTACCTGCGCCTCTCAACTCCAGCTTAGCGTAACAGGCTACAAAAGCGACGCGGACCGCGTGGTCGCGCTATCGAGAAACGGAGAGACTGCGGTTCCGACTACGTAGCATCGCCATTCGGGTAGAGCTCGACTACGCGGATCATTACGAAGAAGGCTTTCCCTCTCTCGCCATATACTCTTTCAAACTCGGCACCAGCTCAGTCTTCATAATCTTGCCCGTAGCATTAAGAGGAAAACTTTCCAACCCCAACTGCTCCAATCCCACCACATGCCCCAAAGCATATTCCTCGCCAAACTTCTCTACAACCTCCTTCTTCACATCCTCCTCACTCTTCCCGCTCCCCTCCAAATCCTTGACGACAGCCACAGGAACTTGTCCCAAAACTTCATCTGGCCAAGCTAAGACGGAAGTATATGAGCCAGTGAATTTCTCAATGCAACTTTCCAAAGCTGCAGGCGTGATTGGAATTCCAGATCTTTTGATTATATCCTTGATCCTGCCCAGGATGTAAAAAACTCCGTGACCATTGATTATGGCGAGGTCGCCGGTTCTGAACCATCGTAGTCCTTCATCGTCAGTGTAGAATGAAGTATCCTCATTGATATGATTCAGATAATGTCTCACGTTACTTTCACATCGCACACAAAGTTCACCTGGTTCATTCCTTCTCAAAACTTTTCCCGCTTCGGGGTCACGGATTCGAAGACGAGCGCCTGGAGCAATTTTTCCCAAAGGAGCGATTGAGTCGGCGAAGTAGGGAAGTTGGTCTGGTTTCTTGTCCCACCATACCCAAGAGAAGACTCCGCCGCCTTCGGTCATGCCGTGACCTACTGCGAGTTTGGCATGGGGGAATGCGGTTTGAGTTTTTATGAGGAGATCGCGGGTTATCATATCGCCGCCTTGCATTATGTCTTCGACGCTTGACATGTCTGATGTGGCGAAATCCGGGTGTGCGACCAAAGCGTGGAGGAGAGCTGGAATGAAAAGCATAAAGGTTACGCGGTGAGTTTCAATTGCTGAGATCCAGCCTTTCATGCCTTGGCTTGGATCAGGTAGAATTGCCGCTCCACCCATCTTCCAGAGGGCGAGGTGAATCGTTGGGGCGATGATTCGGAAATTTGCTGTGGCGGCGAGTGCTCGTGAAGATGAGGTGAAGCGTCGTGGTCCCCAATCCTGAGTTTCTAGTACGTGACAAATCGATCCAACGTGGCGAGGACAGCCTTTGGGGTTACCGGAGGACGTACCTGACGTGAACATTATAAGGGCTGGACGGTCGGGGTCGGCTTCCAAAGCAGAAGACTCGAGTTTTTGAGTGTCGATTGGATGGCTGGCACCACTTTGAACTAGCTCGGGCAGAGATATCCACGGCGAGTTGGGAATGCCATCGAGTTGGATCTTGGCTTTAGGCGATCTGCTTCCCTGGCTCTTCAGAGCTTCTTCGACAGCATTGGCACTTTCGGAGTCCGCAACAATGATTACATCTGGTTGGATCTGGGACATGAAATTTAGGAGCTCTGCACGGCGTGGCTTGGTCGTTGCGCCAGGATCCAGCGAAGACAAAGTGACCCGAAGCAGACTCATCGTCCACAACACGAGTTGCCACTCGACACGATTCGGAACCAAGGTAACGACTCTCATGCCTGGCTCAACGCCAAGAGCCATCAATCCAGTACAGACCTTCAGAGATGCGGCGTGTAGTTGCTTGTAGGTCCATACCAGACAACCCGGACTGCCATTTGCCATGCTGCTATCTGCCGAGCTTCGCGATATTTCCGTCAGATCTGCCAGGTGATCATAAGCTTGGAATGTGCTAACGACCGCTGCTCCATCGGGGTTCGTCTTCAGGCCGTTCTGAATGTACGCGAATATGGATGCCTTGATTTGGACTGGTTCGCTCTCAATGTCTGCGAGTCGTTCCTTGAGCATGTCTCTTTGCATATTGAGTTTTCTTTGCAATTGATGGCACAGCCGTAATGAACAATAATTTGGAGAAAGAGAAGATACCTATATAAACACTTTCAAAGCGAAGGGGGTCTGATCACGCCCTAAGAATACTACATGACTGATCAGCTGTTAACCTCAGCTTCTACTTCTCTTACAAAGCTGGAAATGATAGCCTTGAAGGCGGAACGAAGGACGTCTTGCGCATACGTCAGCACATGGGGCGAGGGACTGAGACCGCCTGTAGTCCAATAAAAGACATTGGCTTGGCGGGGTGCTCAGTTCGTCTGCGCTAGAGCTTATTACTCAGATGCCGGCGGTGTGGACAATCTGAGTATTTAGCTCATGATGAGCATCCAACGAAGACCGATGTACACCTGCTTGTGTATGTGTATTTACTTTTAGACAGAATCATAAATTCGCTCCCCAGCTTACGGGAAACTGCTGGCGACGCCCCATCTTCGAGGCGCTGAAGATCATCAAAATTGTGGAGTGATCGATCTTGCGCTGTCGCGAGACAAATCATTGATTGATTGACATACTTACTCAGATAGAGCTGGATTCGGCCTGTGTGAGACAGATTTGCAGAGGCTTGCCACGTGCTGAGCTTTCCAGACGGAATGGTAGAGACGGAACTCATTGGAAGGCCGATTCGGAGGCTGCATCGTGAGCTTCATGTACGAGATATCATGGCCAGAGTTGACTGTGTCTAAATGAACCGAATGTGATGTATGACACGTTGAGGGTGTTTGAGTAGTTCGCCGATTCTCGAGTGCCGGTCCATTGCTGAAGCTTCATGTACTGGTGAGTCCCGCGGAAACAGATCTGTGCAGATAACTCATGCAATATCTGGAAGTCTAGAGCGCTCTTCGGATATGATGACGTTCTGCACTGATCACTATTCAAGCAAACATGAAGGCCTGAAGATGATGTTGCGGCACTTGACGGAGGTCCTGCATCGAGTCAGCCAGGGTCGGTCTGCTGTCAGACGTCTGAGGTGAAATATGTGTTTTTCGTAGTTGTCAGATCTTTTGCGTATACGGTAAAGGTGTGTCCTCATGGTTTTGTAGGACAGCTCCAATATTTAGAGATCATCATGCGAAGAATGATTTACGAAACGACTTACCGAGAGCTCGAGTCCCTCATTGAAGATCCGAAGTGCTATTCGAGTGGATCGAGGTATAGGTTAATATCACTGGGTCGTGCGACGTAGCTGCGCTGTTGTGTGCTTCGTTGGTTGTCGTGGGAAGAGGCCGTCCTGCCACTGCTCAACCTTCCTCATCATCCTCGAATGTAAGCTTGACTGGCTTTGCCTTCTTGACTTTCTTTGCCGTTGTTCTCATGGAGTCCTGCGCGGCCGCACCACCAGCTTCCTCGTCGTTGCCGATCACCTTCGCAGCCTTGCGCTTCTTCTGTGCCGTGCCGTCTGTAACACTGGCCTCGGTGCGTCGAGTGCTCGCATTGCTGTCCGGAAGAGCTCCAGATGCCTTTGGCTCTGTGCTAGGATCGAGCTCTCCTTTGATGCTTGACGTGTCTTGTACTTCGTTTGCGGCTTCCTGGGACATCTCCTCGAGTTGCGCTTTGGACACGGTCTCTCCGCTGTCGTCTACGACAGTGGGACCATCATCATCGTCTGGATTTTTGGTTCTTTTCGCACGAGCGATGGGTCGCTCGTGGCGATCAGTGTCGCCACGTCCGGCCTTTTGCTCATGGAGACGTTGCAGAAATGGTGGCAATGACGAGTCGTAGCTCAGATCCTTCGACTTAATCTTGTCAGACATGATCCTCGACGAAGGTAATAACGTTGTCTATTGAAGCCAAAGCGCAGCGCAGCACAACTTCTCAACGGGCGCGACTATTCGTAAATCAGCCCCGGCTATTCATAAATCAGTGATCCGATCGCGGAGGAGGCCTAAGGCAAATTTGTTAGTCATCTCCTCCACCGCTAGATAGCCATTTTCCACCTCACTGTCGCTATTGTATACACCTCACTGTCGCCATTCTGTCGCCGCCCTTTTGTACCTAATATTGGCTATATTGTTGAGCCCTTCTGCGCAGCTGCAAACCGAGGCCGCCGCCGCCGCCGCCGCCGCTCTGTCTCCTAAGCTGTATAATCTAAGAAAGCGCTAGTTTCAAGAGATGTGTGGTAAGAGGCTGCGGCCGGTATAAGAGCCGAAGCTAGGTAACCTCGGAGGCCTTAGATTGTAGATCGAGACAGTATGTAGACCTAAGGATATAGAAGGCTACGAATACTTCTATAGTATTAATCGGCGCTATTTAAAGCAGTTTCTCTTAGATTTCTAAGAAGATATAGCGGAAAGCGAGCGCTCGTATTACTAGCGGTATGTTAGCTTCGAGTATAAGGCTAGATACGATAGTCTCGATACCTAGTTAACTAGTAAGCTAGATAATAGTTTTAAGACACTAAACCTAATACTACCGTTTCTTAATAATTTGCTAGCGTAGTACGAGGCAGGCTATACTACTATTCGTTTTATACTACGCGGCGTACGTAGCGAGAGGTTGCCGCCGCTGTTATTGCCGCTAAGCAGTAATAATAGTAAAGAATATAGTAGTAGTAGTAACGGCGGTAGTAAAGGCGGTAGTAAAGGCGGTGCTAGCGGGGTTAGTTAGTAAGAACAACCTCCTTTAGAAATCGAGACTCCTTCTTAACTAGTCTATAACTTTAGTAACAACGACGAATATAGTAACTAGAGCGAGTTAGAAGCTAAGGCCTATAAACCTAGAGTATACGCAACTATCGAGAACCCCGAAAACTAGGTGTTTAATAGTATTATTAATGCTAAAGAATATATAGAAACGTTCGCTTTAGAGAAGGGGTTTAAGACGAAGAAGCAAGGTAACCGACTTAATATAGACTATATTCTATAGACCTTCTAGCGCCGCTATACTAGGTATTTAATACCTACTGTTCGATAGGCTAAGAGAGACAAATTAGAAGAGCGAAGGCGTCTTAATCTAATAGTAAAGCAGCGTAAAGGCCGCTCGAAGTTATACGATTGCCCTTAGTCTATAACGATAACTGCTAAGGACTCGACTAACCCTAATAATAGCTAATAGACCGTTACGTTTAATAGCAATAACTATAACTATCTAGTAGTTAATCTAATAGTATTAGCTAACTACCGACGGCGTTACCGTACTACCGAGATTGTCTAAGAGATACTTAATCTACGAGCCGCTAGTGCTTCTAATCGACAGATTAAGACGGCTATTAAGGCTCGTTTCTCGAGCAGAGGGCTGAATTTAGTAGTCGTACTAGCTACTTTACAAGACATCTTAAATACCTAGCAAAAGGCTAAGAAATTAAGACTCGCTAGCAAGTTAGTAGTAGATAAAACGATCGAGGACCTCCTATAATAGAACTACTTTGTACGGAAGGCCGTCGGCACTAGACTAAGCGGTAAGCGACGGCTAGAATAGCTATATTTCTCGTACCCTAAGATAATTAATATCTATAAGAATTGTCCGGATATTATAGTTATAGATTGCACCTACAAGACTAACGATTATAGTATACCGCTACTTGTAATCGCCTTACTTAATCAATTCAACTAGACCTTCCCTTTAGCGCTTATGTTTATACCTAGATAGGCTACTAAACAGTATTTAGTAGCTATTAGCTATATATAGGAGTTGCTATCGGAATACGGCGTAGAAGAGCCTTGCCTCGTTATCTACGACCGTAATAGGGCATTAATAAAGGCCTTAGTAAGCGACTAGCTTTACCTGCGTACTTAGCTCTACCGCTAGTATATTTGTAAAGGGCTACGCCTTAGGTAGAAAGCGCTAGCCTTAGGCATTCGGCCTGCGCGACTCTAACCTACTACTTAGCGCTTAGCGTACTATACAAAACTATTCGGATTTACGTAGATAGACTTAGCTCTTTATCGAACCTATTAAGTCTTATATCTAGCATCTGCGTACGCGTTGCTTACCCGTAATATTAGGTTCGATCTTTAATATAGGAAACGCTAAGGTTTATTAGGAACCCGAGCAAGATAGCTAGGGGAACGCTGCCTCTACCGTACTAGAGATAACTAGGGACGAGATTTATCGTGCCTTCGAGAGTCTCTATACTAGATAGTAGACGATAGAAGCCTAGCTATAGGCTACTCGTTCCGCGCTCTAATAAGCGGAAGCGTCTCGCTAGCCCGGGCCTCCCGAAGCTAGTTTAGTACGAGACTAGTCTACGAACGAGATCCTAAAGGGACTACTAGAAACTCTCTCGGCTTCCGGCTAAAATATAACGGCATCCCGCGAGTAGAAACTACTATCGTAGGATAGGAAAGCCGAGTCGTTCCGGGACTACCTACTACGACTAAGGAGTTCGTACCGAGTTCGTTCCGGGCTAAAACTAAAGCTCTCCGAAGATTACTACTAGGACACTGTATACGATACCCTGCTGGTAAAGGAACGCGCTAGGATACGCTACTTCTAGGAAAGAGGAAGCCTTACGAAAGGAAAGGACCCCGAAGCTTTCTTCTAGTAACTCGAGGACGTCTTCGCGGATAGTAACGAAGCTATAAAGGCGCTAGAGCAACTCTAAGCCCTAAGGCACTCTTAAGGACAACCTTAGTACGACTACTAGCTAGAATTCGACGGCCTCCTACTAAGCGTAGGCGGAGACCGTTAGACAGACGATACGAAAATTGGTTATTTAAAGAACACCTTCTCGAACGCGGCTAAGACCTATACTACCGCCGTACTAAAGATTAAAGATTACTATCTCTATACGGAGGAGGTCGAGCGGATTATAACGAACCTCGAGTCGACAGATTAGTTTAAATAAGCTACGAAACGCTAGTAAGAAAGGAAGAAAGAAGTAGCGAGTCCTACGGTCGTTATTCCCCCCTATATAGCCCCTACGGCGAACCTAAAGGTCGACTCTAATAGAGACGTAGTTATAAATCCCGCTTAAACTAACGCTTCCCGTAGAAAGAACCGCGGAGCCTAACAATCGACAGCGGGGAAACCTAGGGCTAAATAGGTCGACTCTATAGAAAGAGAGAAGCGTAAGGAGAAAAGACTCTACTTCCGCTACGGAGCGAGCGGATACTATATTCGAGATTGCCCGTACGCCCCGCCGGCTTAGCCTACTAAGATTAGTATCGCCTCCGTATAACCTATTCTAGAGGATATAGAAGAATAGTCGGACTTAAGCAGTTCCGACTCGGGAAAAGAGTAACTTCTACTCGTAGTTAGGAGTCGGGAGTAGATAGAGTACGGGTAAAGAAATAGGAAGAAGTTAAAAAGGACATAAACGGGAATCTTATATATACCGATATAGTCCTCGAAAATAACGTCGGAACTTCTACTCTTATCGACGAAGGATGCTAGTATTACGCTATAATTAATACAGGCCTAGCTAAAGGCCTCGGACTTAGCTATATTAGCCGTAAGTCCCGAGAAGTAAAAGGAGCGTCTACGGCAATATAAGACGCGAAAATTGTAGGAGTCGTCGCCTTCCGGATAGAAATTAACGGATTCTAATAGACGGTATACGCTTACGTCGTACCGGGATTAGCTTTTCCCCTTATCCTAGGGAACCTATAGAAGATATATAATAAGGTCCGGACTACGCCTAAAAAACGATAGTACTACTACGGGAGGGCTCGGTATTAGATTAAAGAAGGGCGCTATTACCGCGAGGTCGATACGAACGGGAATATCGCTACGATTAACGCCGTAAGAAGCCTACTTGCCGCGACAATTGCCGAGGATATTAAAAAGGCCCTAAAGACGAAGGAATACCCGACGATCGAGGAGCTAAAAAAGAAGCTACTCCTAGAGGTTCGCGATATAGCCGCGCTATTTTGTTAAAGGGAAGCCGATAAGTTAGCGCCCTATCGCCCTAGTATCGACTATACGATAGAACTCTAGGAGAAACTAGACGGATCCTAGCCTTAACTCCCTTAGGGTCCGCTCTATAGTATATCGAAACAAGAACTCTTAGTCTTGCGGAAGTCGCTAGACGAGCTCCTAAAGAAGGGGTTTATAAGACCGGCGAACTCCGAAGCGGCGGCGCCTATACTATTCGTTAAGAAGCCCGGGGGAGGACTGCGGTTCTACTACGACTATAGGGCGCTTAACGCTCTAACGAAGTAAGACAGATACCCCTTCCTACTAATCCTAGACACTATAAGGAACCTAACGGAGGCCCGGTAGTTAACTAAGGTTAACGTAGTCTCGGCCTTTTATAAGATTAGAATAGCAAAAGGATACGAGTATAAGACGGCCTTCCGGACGAGGCTAGGCTCGTTCGAATAGCTAGTATGCCCGTTTAGTTTGTCCGGAGCCCCGGCTATATTTTAACGGTATATTAACACTCTCCTATAGGAGTATCTAGACGACTTCGCGTCGGTATATATAGACGACGTAGTTATCTACTCGAGCGGGTCGAGGGAAGACTATTTCCGTAAGGTAAGAGCAGTACTTAAGAAGCTTTAGGACGGAGGCCTTTACCTCGATATTAAAAAGAGCGAATTCGCCTAGAAAAAGATTAAGTACCTAGGGTTTATCGTCTACGCTAACGGAGGAGGAGTGTTAGCCGACCCCGAAAAGATAGAAGCCGTACGAAAATAGGTAGCACCTAAGACCTAAAAGGAAGTTCGTCGTTTCTTAGGATTTACGAACTACTACCGCATATTCGTACCGAACTATTCTAAGATCTCCGCGCTATTAACTACGCTTACTAGTAAGGGAACCCTGTTCGCTTAGGGAGAAGAATAGGATAAAGCGTTCGAGACGCTAAAGGACA